TTAGCAAATAGGAGAAGGGGTAGGCCTTTTGGCCCTTTGGCCCTTTGAACTTGCTCTGCCATTCACTATGATTTTGACTGATCATCCAATTCATCCCTGCTCCTACTTTCTCTCTGTACCGTTTAACTTAAATAAAGGGAATTACAGTGAAATGAGGACAGATTGAGGAAATAGGAACTGTCTGATAGAATAGCAGGAATGACAGTAAGAAAGCAGTGGCAGAGATTTCAAGGGGTAAATCATGATCCCCAGTAATAATACATCCCAGTAAAGAGGAAAGATTCTCAGAGATGGTTAAACCAAACCTGACTAACCAAGGAAGTTCAGCAGAGTATCAAATTGTGGAAAAAGCAAGTGATAGCCTCAAAACTGGGATAAGTTTAGAATCTAGCAAAGGAGGATTAAATTTGTTGCCAAGATTAGTAGCTCGGGCAGTGGATGAGATTATAGACTTGCTCACCAAGCTGGTGTGCTTGATTACAAACATTTCATCACCCTGCTAGGTAACATCATCAGTGAATCGTTGGTGTTCTGTCCCACTTGTTATTTATATGTCTCGGTTTGCTGGGGTGTTTGGCACTTCTTCTGGTTCTGTTTCTCAGTGGTTTGTACACGGGGCCTAATTCATTGTGTTTGTTGATGGAGTTCCGGTTAGAATACCGGGCATGTCTCTTTTTGGCTCGTGCTATTATAGGTGTGTTGTCCCAGTTGAATTTTTGCCCTTCTTTGTCTGTGTGTATTGAGACCAGTGAGAATTGGTCGTGTCTCATGGTGGCTTATTGGTGTTCATGTATCCATATTCAGTTTCTTCCAGGATGGCCTATGTAATGTTTCTCACAGTCCTTGCATTGTATGTTACGTTTGTTTTACTGGTAGTTTTAGACCAACTAATGACAGAATTATCCACTGGCCCCTTCAACTTGCAACTGAAGATCCTGAAAGACTCAGTTACAGAGACAGTCGATGTCTTGATTGAAATTTTTGAAAAAACATTGCTTTCTGGAGAAGTACCAAAAGATTGGAAAAACTACCACTGTGACACCGAGTAAGAAAGGAAGGGAGGCAAGCGGAGAGGCTAGCAAAGCTGTTTGTTCTACAAGACTGATAGAAACTTGATAGGCATCTATAAAATTATGAGATGCATAGATAGGAATGCTTGGAAGAATCTTTTTCCCGCTGAGTTGAATTGTCTAATACGAGGGATCATTTGTTTAAAGTGAGAGGGTTTAAATTTCAAATGAGCTGTGACATATGAGTTTATGTCCAAAGAGAGTGGTAGGAATCTGGAATGCACTACATTGGAATGATAAGTGCATTTAAGGGACTTTTTAGATAAAGGTATCAATATACAAGAAACGTAAGGATATGGGCCCAAGGCAGGCAGAAGGGATTAGTTTAATTTGGTGTCATGTTTGTTTCAAGATTGGCTGAATGATTGTTTTGTGCTGTACTCTATGTTCTTTGTTCGATGGTCTAAAAAGCAGGTAACCATGGCTGATTAACAACCATATATTGCTCGATGTGTATTGGTATCAATTATTTCAGAAGTAATAGCAGAACATTTTCAAAACCATTATCTAAATCAAACAGAGGCAGCATAATTTCCTGAAAGTGGGATTTATTCACGTTTTTGAGGGAGTCTGAACCAGAGTGGAAAGAGGGAAAGCAGTGGATGTGTTATATTTGAATTTCAAATGGTAACCTGTGGTGAGTTAAGTCATAAGACTAAGATGGAGAGGAATTTCTTCCCTAAGAGGGTTCTGGGCCTTTGGATCTCCTTGCCACAGAGAGGTGTGGGAGCAGAGTCCTTGTGTATATTTAAGGCTGAGATGGATAGATTCTTGATTAGTAGGGGAATCAAGGGTTCTAGGGGAAAATCTAGGAAAGTGGATGTCAGTTATGTCAGAACAGCTATGGTCCTATTGGATTGAGGGGGCCAAATGGCTTATTCTTGTTCCTTATGGTCTGAAGAGAAATTATTCCGACTCTGCCAATCTATATTCTTAACCTGTGATCCTTGTTTGTGGACTCCATGGTCATTGGGAATATCCTTCCTGCATTTACCCTGCCTAGTGCTGTTAGAATATTGAGGGTTTCTCAGATATTTCCCCTTACTCTAAACTATCTACATTCACTGGAGAAGTCACATGACACCAGGTTACAGTCCAACAGGACTGAAATCCAGAGCTTTGAGCACTGCTCCTTTGTCAAGTGAAGGAGAATTCGAAGACCAACACCACAAAAGGTTGTGATTTAAAATAAACCTGTTGGACTATAACCTGGTACCTTGTGATGTCTGACTTTGTCCAACCCCACTCCAACACTGGCACTTCTGAGCCAGTTAATAAGTTCTAGTTGGTGCTGTCCCTTCATTCCTCAACTCTGCCAACCCAGGAATCAGTCTGGTAAATCTTTGCTGCTTTCCCTCCATAGCCAGAACATCCATCCTCAGGAAAGTAGACCAAACCCGAACACAATATTCCAGGTGTGACCACTGTCAGGCCCTGTACATTTGCAGCAAGGCATCCTTACTTCTGTCATTGATTCTGTTCCCTATGAGGGACAACATACCACTTATCTTCTTCACCACCTGCTGCACCTTCATGTAGACTTTCAGCAACTGGTGTACAAGGACACATAGGATTCATTGCATCTAACCCTTTCTCATTCTATTGCCATTCGGGTAGAAATCTACCTTCCAGTTTTTGTTTCTAAAGTGAAGAACCTCATTTATCTATGCTATGTGGCAAAGGCAGTACACTTACCCACTCATTCAACTTATCTAAATCACACCAAAGCACCTTATTATCTCCTTGAAAGTTCACCCTGTGTAATTGTAGCTGGTTTGGGAGTGGTTAGAGGGGAGAGAGTGTTACACCATATCTAACATATGTAGTACCTGCTCTTGGAACAGTTGTCTGGACAGTGCACAGGGAACTTTACTCTGTCCCTAACTTTGTACTGTGCATTGCCTGGGAATGTTTGATTGGGACACTGCAAAAGCTCTATTGTGCTGTAAAGAAGAAAGAAGTTAGCATTACACATACAGATTAAAGAATTGAGGGAGATTTACTCTGTAGCTAACTCAGTGCTGTCCCTTTCCTGGCAGTTGTTCTAGTTAGTCTGGTTCTAATGAAAGATGTCTCCATTCACCAATACTGAGTCCCATCACCACCCAGGGCCAACTCCAAGCTCATTTTGCTTACACTGTGCACCTCATTCTCCCTTGTTGCCACTGAACAGCCGACTGCACAACCGCTTCCTGACTTCCATGTTCATTCATGTTTCCCTCATCTCATGTATTGCTCTCCCCTGTCCCCAACCCCATCAAATCTGAACCTCCACCTCAAACCCTGACTCCTCTTGTAATTAACTTTGCCACAACAGAGAAGCCCTTTCTCACACTCATAACATATGATGCTTATCTTTCCTGGAATTTGAGCCCCTTCAATCAAGTTTGTACCCCTGAATCACCAACTCCACAACCATCCTCAGCAACATCAGATACACTTACATTGCATGTGCTCTGACCACACCCATCTCTCTCCTGTTTTAGGTAACAGGCTGCGCACCTGATATCCTGTACTGAGAACACCACTGTTAAGACTGCAGAGCTTGCTTTCAGTCCCTGCAGCAAAGCATTTTCCACCTGATGAAGTAATCCCCCTCACTGAGAATGTAGCACTCACAGAACCCACCAGATGTCAACTCCCCCTTCAAGAGGGATCAGCTTCTGTTGGGATCAAGGTAGTTAGCTCAGCCATGTTAAACAGTGTGGCCTTTTGGGCTATGGATTACTGGATAATTAAGGAATGTTTGGGCTTGAAGAGAGCACACCATGTCATGGCTACATAAGTGACACATGCAAAGACTGTTCAGGCCCACAGAACTGCTTTCACCCAGTGGGTTTGACCTGTCATTCCATTTGACAATGCACACAGCCACTGCAAAGTGGGACACATCCAGATTCAGCTGGCCAGATGGCTTTTGCCATTGACACATACTGGTCTGAAGAGCATCATGTCAATTCTGAACTACCCATGACATCATGGTGTTTGTGATTTTGAAAAAGTCACACTGAACATCCCAACTAATCCTACAAAAGCTTGCAGCATTCATTTCACAACTTGGTCAGCTTGAGTTGGAATTTAGTCTAAACCCTCCCTCACTGTAAGGAGCAGCGGAGACTGTTCCAGACTGTTACCAGCTGCAGAAATGAAAAACGGTAATCCAACACTCTGAGGCCCTGCCAACCCTCCACCCCTGCTTCAAGACAGCAGCATGAGGGTGGAGTTGAAAAAGCAGACATGAGCAGGGCATGTTCTACTCCAGACATCTCTGGATGAAGAAAGAGCTGCCCTCATGGCAATCTGACAGTTCACCAAGTCTTTCAGGATAAAATGCAGATGGATGTGTTCCCTTGTGGGAATTGTACATTGATGCACTCAAGGGAGTGAGTGCCATGGGCCCTTG